CTATTTCAGGCATTGGCAAATTCAAATGAGATTTTGAACATAGCCTACTGTACATCCCCACCCCATCTGAACTTGTACACAAAGTTCCTTTATGTCAACAGTCTGACAGCTCAGCCCAACCCATGTTTACATTTCTCTACTGACCAACAATTTCTACTAGTTTATAACTACAGTTCAATTTTTGAAAACTGTGTTATGTTGTTCAGCCATGTGCACACACCAGTCCAGGTAACAATTTTCAGAGTCTAAAGACACGTTCACTCTACTGTAACATGAACATTAATGTTAGTTGCTAAAGTGTAATGCTAAAATTTTTAGCAACTTACTTTTCCCAAGGACCAGTAGCCGTCATCCACTTGTCAGTATAAGTCACACTGAAACAAAAAAGAAACATCTACTTAGAAAAATGAATTAATTTAAACAATATTTAAGCAATAGTTAAGCTGAAACCGGGAAAGTTATAATTAGGCTGTATTATTTGACTTCCGTTGGTTTCGAATTACAGTTCTCCAATAAACCACTAGAGAGCACCAGAATCCATCGTAATTCCTTCACACAAAAGTGACTAAAGCAAGAATTACTCAAGAGTTTCTGCAGCCGCAGGGTGGAGCATGTCCTGTAGATCTAAATCTTCAAAGAAATTATGAAAATCAACCTCATCTATAATATGATCGCAATTATTTCTGCTTCTTATGCCATCTTTAAAGGAAACCGAAGCTCACCATGGAAATGAGTTACACAGTTTAATACAAATGCTTAAAAACGAGAATAACAGTTGGATCGCATTAATATTTAAAATATGAAACTAGACTATGTAGAAATGAAATAAAACAATTGGGAGAGGGATGTTAAAAGGCAACTCATTTCAATTGACATTTGTGACTTAAAGTTGGTACCAATTTGCATCAATTCATCTTTCAATCAATCATCTAAATGTAACACAAAGCAGCGCCATGAAAATGCCACTGACCTCCAGGTAAATCTCTCTATCAATCTCTGATACATTTTTCTGCACTCGATGGACGCGGTAAAATGTATAACAATAAGCAATAACCAACTTTGAATAAAAACATTGCATTATTTAAGTCGTCATAGGTTGGAAAATAACATTGTTTAAGGTGTTTTTCCTGTTGTGCATTCCCCTTGAGTAAACAGAGCACAAATTAACATAACACAAGTACTCTATAACCAAACTGTTAAAATATTAATGTGGAGCTCTACCTAAACGTGTGAAAAATGTTTAGACTTCCACGTATTATTTTAATGCACAGCTCAGCTGTTCGCTGTTATTTTAGACAATTGTCTCCTCCTGAGTACCCGGTCAAAGAACTGCACAAAAAGCGGAAGAAGGGGGACGGATAAGAGAGTTCTGCGCATGCGCACTAACTTGTTTTTCACAAGAGCAGCGCTTAAAGTGAGCCGGTGGCGAAATCTCGCTGTCTTTCATTGCAGAGACCATCAAGCCTTCACCGAGACGCAATAACAGCATCTTTTGCTGTTATTCAGCTCTCGCAGCTCAATGACACTATCCAGTGTCGAAACTCGCTTTTTTTCATAAGAGATTATTTTCATAGACTTTGGCCGTGTGATTTGTTTTGGGGTTTTTTTTTTTGTCTACAAAACTTTGTACAATTTATTTTCTTGCCACCATGGTGCTAGGAAAGGTAAAGAGCTTCGTTGTAAGCTACGACTGTCTCAATGACAGCAATGTCCCTGTTTTCTCAAGTGGGGACTCCGTCTCAGGTAGAGTTATTATTGAAGTCACAGGGGAGATTCGTGTAAAGTCACTTAAAATACATGCAAAGGGATTTGCAAAAGTTCGTTGGACAGAATCACGAAATGCTGGATCCAACACTGCCTACACTCAAAATTATACAGAAGAAGTGGAATATCTGAATCATAGAGACATCCTTATTGGCCACGAAAGAGGTAAGAATACAGATCAAACATGCTCTCAGTGTAGATTTGTTCCGAAAAGAACAGTTGAATATACTGGTGGGAATGGGATGGATGCTCAGTGGTCCAAGATGACATAACATACTTTGGATGCTGCACAGTAACTTGTTGACCGGTGGATCTGTAGACAGTATTGTGTACATGCATATGCATTTCTTTTCTTTATCAATTGTTGTAATGTATTTCATTTGTTGGATTCGATTGGCTCGAAAAATACACCATATACATAGAACATTACATGGCGATCAGTCATTCAAATAAAATATTTGGCAGTAAACATGGATGCTTAATTTTCACAATTCCGTTTTGATCGCTTAAATGCGTGATATGAAGCACATTTATTTATTTGATTATGGACTACACTTAAACATTCTTTCAGGTGTCAGTGACCGCTTGAATGAATGGTGGCCATAGTTTGCCCATCTCATGCTACAGATGAAAAACGAAATTCGTATTCGGTGTTCCACCGCATATATTTCTTTTGAAAAAAAAAATAAATAAAACAACGTGCATAAATCTCATATAATATCACAGTAATGACATATCTTTCGGCATAATGCCTTAAGTTTCCACCCATTGTTAGAAGCGGTTCAATCCTGTTTTGATGCAGTGTCTTGCCGTTCTTGTCTCTGATTGGTGGAGGCGCCAACGTGTCTTCTGTGACCTCATGCTTTTGCGGAAAGTGAGAAAAACAGCAACTTTGCACCAGTGGCGGTAGTATACAATGCTCATACTGCATACAGTGGCTATTACATTTAAATTCAGTGGTTCAGTCAGTATATTCTATACGTCAATGCTGACTGACAACCTCGCTGTATAATGTTCATGCATTCACATTTGAAATTGACCAGGGTCATTCTACATTTGAGGAATCATATTCCTGTCAACTGTTTTCACACTGTACATTTTAAACCCTCAATTGCATATTTTTTGAGGTAGAAAACATAAATTGTACAAATACCTGTTTTGATAACTGCAAGTCTTTCAGTAGTGTCAGCTCTGGCTGTTTAAGCCACATAAAACGTTTGCTAAAAAGCAAAAACAACGTTCTCTTTTCAACCAGTTCGACATTTAAATTTTCTCTCCACTCGTTCCACAATTTCTGCAACTGTACAAAGCTCATGAATATTTAATTAAGTAAGCACCGAGGCAATTCATTGGTTGTCTGTTACCAAACAACTTGACGTAATGTTCTACCGCTGCATTGTTCCATTCCATTTTAACTTACTGACTGAGCAGGACTTCAAAACACAGGGTTACAAAATTACAAGTGTGAAACTTTGCTTTTGGGGGGGAAATGTGACCCAAATTGTATAACTTTTTCCATATTCAGTCGCTATTCTTTGTTGTGAAGTTTTGGTTGGCCTGAGCTGGCTTATGTTACAGAACGAGCCAGTATTTTTTATTTATTTTTTTTTTTTTAATGTTGGAACTTATTCGTTGTATATGAATCAAGTAGTGCATGTAATGACTGTTAGTTGCATGCGTATTGTGATTTGAAAGAAATTCTTGCTCCTGTAAAGTTCTAATCTAAATAATGTGTCTAATTGTCACTTTGCTGTTTCTGTATGAGTAATTGGTTACAATAAAGATCAATTTATTATGGAAACTGGTCGTCTTTCTGTCGTTTCTGATTGTTGGTATTTTTTTTTTTTTTTTGATTAATTAATTTATTTGACATAATATTTCTCTCACGTGTATTGTTGAATGGGAGAACGCTCGTGAGGTCCACGCCGCAGCACACGAGATTCAATTGGGAGGCGTGTACGCGCGCGCTCGCCGCCCGCCGCACACTGAATACGTAATGAGCGCTCCTGCACAGGGAAGCAGTTGGCTCCGGTTTAGTCGGTCTTCTCTTGCTGGAGTCTGCCTTTGATTGACAGCTCCGTGGTTGTTTACCATGGCTCCGCTAAGCTGAATGGAGTGCGGAGTGCTTACTGCTGAGCTGGCAAAACGAAAGCCACCGGTGCTTTTTTGTGTTACACAAACATTATTTAACATCGGAATTTTGTTTCACATTTACCTTATGCTTCATGTGAACTGCAGTGGATCTTACGAGTATATATCCCATTCAGAATACATACTGAAACTTGATACACCTGTCAAGTGCAATGATTGTATGTGATTTAAATGCCTATGATTCATGGGTAAAATATATTTGTGATGCATATGATTTTTGCTGGGGTTAATTTTATGAGAATCAAACTTATGTTTTATCAAAGTTTGCTTATGTTTACATTTAAGCATTTAGCAGAAGTATCATGCTTATGTGCTTTAATAAATTAGATCATGTAACAAACAAGAAGATGATCAATGCTTTGGCAGGTAAGGTATATTTGGAATATTGTTCTCTTCTGTTTCAGATGATGATAACTCTGAGGAGGGGCTTACCACTATTCATTCAGGAAGACATGAGTATGCATTCAGCTTTGAGCTTCCACAAACGTAAGTTTTGGTCAGATGTGGCACCAAAGCTAATAACTGTTAATCTGCACTGTATGTTATAACTCTTATTATATTTATATTGTCATGCACATGCAGACCTTTGGCTACCTCGTTCGAAGGGAAGCATGGCAGTGTGCGCTACTGGGTAAAGGCTGAGCTGCACAGGCCTTGGCTTCTGCCCATGAAGACCAAGAAAGAGTTCACTGTCTTTGAACACATCGACATCAACACTCCTCTCCTGCTGGTGAGTGTTCGCATCCCTCTATTAGTCCTGATTCATCAATGCATTGTTGAAGATTAACCATTCAAGGTTCTTGCATTCTAACGTTTTGGTATTCTACTTTATACAGTCTCCTCAGGCAGGAACTAAAGAAAAGACGCTATGCTGCTGGTTTTGCACCTCAGGTCCAATCTCCTTAAGTGCCAAAATTGAACGGAAGGGTTATACTCCAGGTAAATCTTCTGACAGTTATTGTTTTCACTTGATATTTGGAACCCCACTGTATTTCTACATGATACTAGGGTTGCATCACATGATTTTTTTTTTTTATTAATCTGTCAATTAGTTATACATTATATTAATTACAATAACAATGTCAATTAAAAAGTAAAGGAATTAATCCCCTTATTTATACTGCCCAATGTTGTCCCCCAAACAATGTGCAATCTGAAGGCAAAAGAAACAAATAGGCCTATAGTGACTGTACTATAATGTGTCTATGTATGCTATGTGCAGTCAAACAAAATTAAAATGTAATTAGAAAATATAATTAGAAATGAAAAATGTCGCTTTACTGCCACTGCTCTGATTAAAAAATACAATTACTTGTGTCTCATGTTGAATTTCAAAATTCCATTTCATGTGTAAAATCTAATATTTAGAATAATGTATATTTTAGTCTGAATTATTGTGCTCTTCTACTCTAATAAGCTTTAGTTTGGAGTGCTTAATTTCACGCATTCTCATCTGTAGAAAAAAACTGAACTGTTTTCCAGATGCATTTTGTTCATAGAAATTAGTCATTCACTCTTGTAAAGTGACATAATTGGCGGATGTTTTTGTGCATAGTGCGCATGCTGGATTAATCATTCATCAAATTTGTTGTTGATTATTTTCATTAGGGATTTGATTGATTCATTGTTGCAGCCCTACATGATACCCCTTGATACATTCTGGTACCATTAACAATGCATCATTTCTTTACACAGGAGAGTCCATTCAAATCTTTGCAGAAATCGAAAACTGTTCCTCACGCATGGTTGTGCCAAAGGCTGCCATTTACCAAACACAGACCTTCTTTGCCAAAGGGAAGATGAAGGAGATCAAGCAATTGGTGGCCAACATCCGAGGGGAGTCGCTTTCTTCAGGCAAGACGGAGACATGGAGTGGAAAAATGTTAAAAATCCCTCCTGTATCACCCTCCATCCTCGACTGCAGTATCATTAGAGTGGAGTACTCACTCATGGTAAGTGTTTATTTATTTATTTTTTTAGATTACCGATCATCTCTACATGTGCCGGCATTTTCTATAGCTTAAAAATCGAAATAATGCAGGAATTTTCAGAGCTTTATGTCAATTACAAGCAGCTGAAGGATCAGTTCCTTGAACACCCTTATGCTTTCCACACATGCAGCTCCATTAACGATAAGGAGATTATGCCAAGGTCTCCTAGCACATACTGATAAGAAGATCAGCCTAAAAATATCTGATGAAATTCAGGCCATTGAGTGATAATGGCCTATTAACCCCACAAACCAATCTGTCATCGCTCGTATCTGAATATTAGAGTTTACTATTTCAAGCCATCATGAATACATAAATAATGCTGTTATATATTTTTCTCCTCCTACAATTTATTTAGTTCCTTGACTTTTGGCAAAAGCATTTAATCTAGAGTTATTGAAAATACGCTGAATCCTTGTTTTTTCAAATAACTGAAATCATGACTCATCAAATACTGTTTCAGGGTCCAAGTCTCTATTCCTCTAATCTGTTTTCCGTTTATTTACCAAATTGAAAATTTGTCATGGAGATAAAGGTTAGGATCATATTTTTCATTGGTAGTACTGCACACCATGAGTGTATTTTAGCACCGTTTGTTTGCTTTTGGGATACTGAGAAGCATTTGGACCTGGAAACAGTGACAACCAGATGGTTTTGCCAGTCATATTTACAAATCAAGGTGCACTATTTGTGAAATGATTAACCTAAAATCCCAATATTTTTATCTGCAGGTGTATGTAGATATCCCAGGAGCCATGAACCTATCTTTAAACCTGCCCCTGGTGATTGGGACCATCCCCCTCCATCCTTTTGGTAGCCGTACATCTTCTGTGAGCAGTCAGTGCAGCATGACCATGAGCTGGTTAGGCATGGCCCTCCCTGAGAGGCCTGAAGGTAAGGAACACGAAAAACTAAATGTTCGGGCGGGCGGGGGGGGGTAACGAAAATTCTGTCATCACTTACAAATTGTATGAATTTCTTGCTTCTGCTGAACACAAATGAAGATATTTTGAAGAATTTCAGCTGAATGGGCCCCACTGATTTCCATAGAAGAAAAAAAAATACCATAGAAGTCAACGGGGTGCATCAACTTTTTGGTTAATGACATTATTCAAAATATCTTCTTTTGTGTTCAGCAGAAGAAAGAAATTCATTCAGGTTTGAAACAACTTGAGAGTGAGTAAATTATGACACAATTTAAGTTAAGTGAACTATTCCTTTAAAACCACTTGTTTTGGGGCATGTTTCCAATATAATAAGAGGTCATGTGATTTTTGTATCTTGACTTATAGAAAAAGAACTTGTTGCGGTGTTCTTTAAAATAAGACACCAAAAGAGGAAGTGGAGATAACATTGTACACAGAGAAGATATCATGGTTGGCATAGCTACAGTATTAACATTTGCTTTTGCTGTACACAGCTCCTCCAGCCTATGCAGAGGTGGTCACAGAAGAACAGAGGCAAGGCTGTCTGGATGTGTCGTCAGGCCGGGAGAACTTTGAAGGGCCATTATTGGCCTACATCCAGGAGTTCCGCTTCCGACCCCCTCCACCCTACTCTGAGGTAAGCTTTTTTGGGGTTTTTTTGACAGGTAAAATGTTGATATTTTTATCAGGAGGCAGTCTTCAGCCATGTTTACATGCATTGGACTCACTGGAGCTGTTGTTCTGTTCCCCTCTCCATCAGATTGATCCACATCCAGATCAAGCCACATCGACTGCGGAGCAGAGACTCGACACCTGCCCATCACGTTGAGAAATGTATGGAATGAGTCCAAAGTGTTTGGGCTTCAGGAGCTTTCACTTTTGTTTATCTCCAGATGACAGCGATTGTTCGCTTCGCTGTCACCACCGAGAGAAAACAAACCTCTATGGAGAAATCCGTTCGTAAGGGTCCAGGAAGTCACTGGCAAATTACCCGACCCAGAGAACCCTCCTCCCCCCTTCACCGGACTAAGCCTGGAGAGCTACAGTATGTCAAAGTAGTCACTTTTCTCAAAGAACATTTAGACCTTGTTCGAGATCTGAAGAGAAAGGCAAGAAAACACTACGACCGCAGCCATTCGCAGTACAGCTGGGAGAAACTCGTCATTCTCTTGTCTCAGTTTCGGATTTCTGTTTGCGTTCCTTGATTTGAGTTTTAAAATCACTGATTGTTTTATTTCAGAGATTACAGGCTTATAACAGTTTCGCTTGAGCCGCACAAATTACAAACAACACAGAGAACAGATTCTGAGTATAATAACAGACTGAATGGACTGACGTAATGCACTGATCTTGTTCAAGCTCTTTTGAGGTCTGTAGTTTTCATTGATTGTGTTTCCTCGGTCAATAATCTGCTCTTGGTAACACGCTTTCTGAAAGCTTTTGCAATGTTGCCTCGCCAACTCCCAAACCAAGAATGGCTTTTGTTTTGTTTTTTCCTGTTCAAATGGACTTCATTTTCGGTTCTAAATGTAGAACCTTTCAGCCAAACTGGTTTGCTTGGTTTTAAATGTGTTGCACATGTTGTTTGGTAGAGGAGCAAAAGTCCAGGACTTGGTGTTCATGTGTGTGATCGGAGCAGAGAGATAAAACAGGGTGTGGGCCTGGGCAGGATGCCTGAAAAGTTTGTGGCCTTTCTGTTCATAGTGTGTAGCGGTGCAGGCTTCGAGATTGCACTGCCTGAAAAAAAGCACTCAGTCTCAGGTCATCTCACTTGCCAAATGAAAACAAAATGGTGCAGATTATGTTTCAGTTAAAGGAAGGAGACTACGGAAGGAAATTCAGATTCAATATTGAAAAACCGATTCAATAAAGAGAGGAGATATGCACAAAGATTCAAGGCAGCTTTCAAAGACTTGTGACATTCCCTTTTTGTCCTGCTGCACCGGAGGACTTACATTTGACGTAATGTTTCTTCAGACCAGTGAAGCCATGCATGACCCAGAGAATGGCACAAATGCTTAAAAAGCCAAGTTGTAAAGCAAAACGAGGACTCTGGATCTTATCCAGAGACATCCGAATCTAGTTGAAATGAGTCGTACATTTGTTTTTAAAACTCATTCGACTAAAAAAGCAGTTTAGGCTCTGATCATGCTTGGCCCTCATTAAGCGCTTGCTTTTTTTTTCTTTTTTTTTGTTATGTCTGGTTGAGGTCTGGAGAAATTTTGGCATTCAACCGTTTAGCTATGTAAATAATTGAAGAAGTGTTTTGATTTATAGAATTAGTCATTATTTGTGCACACAGTGTGTGTTATAGGTTCATCTCTAATGTGGTGGTGGTTATGATTCAGCAGTTTTTGGAGCAAAGTGATCTTAACATAGTGGCCTTGAAGAATTACTGATCGTAACATCCTATTTGTTATCCTTTTAGTCCTACAGATTGGGGTTTAGTTTAAAAGGACAAAAAGGGAAAAGCAAAAAGTCCTTCAAAGCGAGCAAGCATGCATGCCACTTTTGATTTGAATGGGTTTAGGTTTTCAGTTATTCAGTTTTGATGAATACTCATGGGCATTCAGTGTTCGTTTTTCAAATAAACGAACTAATATGGATCCTCTCAATTAATATGGGAACAGTAGCTGTAGCACACGTTAGAGAAATGGGTCATCCAAAAACTCAAGAGATGATTATGAGAAGAAAATGTTTTGCTTCTCTGTTGTGTTTTATAGTTTAATATCAAACCAAAATTTGCTACCAATGAAAGAATAAGCTTAAGCACAAAAAGAAAAGTGCTTCTTTTTGTGGTCGGTCAATAATATAGTCTAATGCTTGGCCTTCCGTGTAGTCCAGTGTTAAAGCTAAACTCTTGACTCTGTCAGGAAACACTTTTAATGGATATATGGTATGTTTTAGAAATTAAGTGCAATATTTCTTGAGTTTATTTTGACTCAGTGGTATATTTTGTCTTATTTCAATGTGCTTTCATTTCAGAGATCATTATGAACATTTGATAATGATTGAAATGTATGTCCGTATTGGTTTTAACTTTTGTCTTGGTTCTTCCTTGGACATAAATAAACTAAATAATAATAAAAAAAAATCCCTTCTGTTGTACTTCTTTGTAACAATCATTTTCACTATTTACTATGTTGATATTGGTGCAATAAAAGTCAGCAGGCTACTGCTCAGAATTTAAAACATCAGCAAGATGTCTCAAATGAAATATGGACAGTGGACATGTTGTGGCTCCATCCCCCCTCTCCATCTATTCACATTATTGTTATAACTGATGCTCTAATTTAAGGCTCATGAGTATCCTTTTCTTTTTTTCTTATTTCACATTTACTCCTTTGCATTGCTGTTGATCAATTCAAGATAAGGTTGAACTTTCTTTAAGGTGTTGGACTCCAAGACGCCAGCTTGGTTTATAGGGGATAACCTTCTGACCTCAGCTTATCGGATGTCACTAGGGTCAAGAAGTGACTTTAGGGTCAAGTGAGTTCACAAACTTTGGCCAGCAGGGTTGGATGAAAATACTAACACATAAACAAGGCTTATCTTAGAACTGGCCAAAACATGGGAAATTGTTATGTCCAATTCTAAGCCAGGCTGTAATTTTAATCTTAGCCACATAATGAACTCTGTTCTTTAAAGGAGTAGTTCACTTTAAAAAAAAAAAAAAATTTTACCATATATTTTACCATTGCCATTACAGGAATAAATTGCCATTGATTTTAAATTGCAATAATATATTACAATATTACGGCTTTGACTGTATTCAAATAAATGCAGTCTTGGTGAGCATAAGAGACTTCATTTAAAAACATTTAAAGGCACACTATGCAGGAATTCTGTTTTTGTCAAACAGCGACCCCTAGAGCCGCTGTGTAGTACTTGTATTTAATGTTACTGTCGTAAATACCACTCACGCAGAGCACCTCTGCGCCATAGACTGTAAAAAAATATGGACGTAGTATCCGTGACGTCAAGAGCGGTTTTGAAAACTAAAGTGGGCAATTTTTTTATTTTTTTTATTTTTTTGGGGGGGGGTGTCTGGTCACCCTTTTGGGACGTCTGGCACGCGCAGTCTCCACTCGGACACGCCTTTCAATCTATCGCGGACTCTTTCTATTCGTTCCGGTGAAACCACAAAATAAAGTGCACACAAACAAAACAAACTTAGTCCATCAACAAGATTGCCAGGTCAGCATCAATGTTGCATCCAGTGCTGCTTTTTAGCTCGCGCAAACGAGTGAAAAGCACCATGAAAAATCTTTTCATTTTCATAGTCATAGTGATTCATAGTGATTCGCCCTACTATGAGATTGTTTACCACTGAAATGACTTTGAAGCTGTTATATTAACTCTTTCCCCGCCAGCGTTTTAAAAAAAAGTTGCCAGCCACCGCCAGGGTTTTTGACGATTTTCGCTAAATTTGAATGCCCCCGCTGAATATTTTCTTCCATGAATATATGAAGATGATATATATAAAAATAAAGATCTGAGCCTCTGCTTTTAGGCAAAAAAAACGTTTTTATTTTATCTTCATCTGTTCTTTTTTTATTGCCTCTTGAACAGAGGTAGGTTTTGTCAAAAACACAACATTTTGGACAAAAAACTGAGAAAAAGGTGTTTTTATCAAACAAGTGCATTTAAAAGCAGAATACATTCAGATGTTGTTTCCTTCATATATAAAACTTTCCAAAATAAATTAAAAACATAAAATAACTGTAAAATATATCAAATTTCCCAGGATGTAAGGGAAATGTAACTTTTGCAATAAAACTTCTGCCTCTGCCTCTCTGTGTTCTACCTGTGAATAATGAATAATTGGAATTACAATAAACAGGCCTAGACACACACACACACACACACACACACACACACACACACACACACACACAAATACATATTACAATGTGGTAAATGTGCACAAAGAGAGAAATAATTTGACAATTACACCTTCATATTTAGACAGCCACACATAAATGCCTGCACACACACATATATAATATAGTGTCATAATTAGGGATGGGTATCGTTAAGGTTTTATCGGTATTACTACTCTTACCGATACCGCTTATCGATCCGGTACTTTAACGGTATTCTTATCGGTTCTTTTTGGTGTTTTTTATTATTTATTTATTTATTTATTTATTTTAAGAATTAAGAACATAATAAACTTTATATTTTGAAATGTAAAATAGAAAAAGCAAAACAAAGAAAAATATATTTTTGTTATGCAGCAGTGTGCAGGCTTTTTTTGTTTATACAAAAAGGACACATAAGAAAAAAACAAGTACAAACACAAGAATACAATTAATCAAAGATACAAATTATATACAAAGTGCTTTAATTTCAGGATGGTCTACTAACATATCTTTTCAGGTAATTGTTTCTGTCTGAAAAGAAACCTAGTTATCAAATATAAAATAGCACTATAGTTTATCATAGATAGAATAATGCTTATTAAATCTAAAGTTACTCATTCAAAAGCTGTGAGTGATTTTCTCTGCCTTTTGTTGTTTGATTTGCATTAATGGCTGAATCGTCTGCAGGTTTAGGCTATTAGACCGCTGCCCCTTTAAGACCGAGTGCAGATAATGGGTACTGATGCACCATCATTTTCTCCCTATTATTTACGTCCATTTAAGACATAATTGTGTTTAAGTGAATAAACTGTGTTTAAGTGAATCTCAGAGCTGGTCATTTTGACATTTTTATGTATATTTGATAGTTAAGGACGCACGAAGCCCAAGTATAGGCTAATTTTCTGTTGCAGTCCGTTTCGGAGCGCGCACCGCGTCTCTTGCGCAGGTTTTTGTGTTTTTAATAGCCATCTTTTGATCTTGCACGAGTAGAAGACAGCATTTTGCAACAATCGCCGATCGTGCTGATTCTGACGGTTACGTTTGGGTTTAGGAAGAACTGACAGCGCTCCGCAGTGCTGTGAAGTGAAGGAAGTTAAGCTGGACAGATCGTCTCGTTTTTTAACGGTTTTATCTCAAATATCTTCTTTTTATAATCTTTGGAAGCCGAAATACAAAATATATTAGAATAATATCCCAGATCTAAAGTGTAACCACGTTGAATGTTTAGTTCTGTCCTCATTGTCACTCATTAAGCAGGGCTGTCGTGTTGCGCGTGCTGTGGATTTGCGTGAGAGATCGCTCTCTCTGTTCTCTCTCTCTTCTGAACTGCGAATTGCAAATTTGCATCACAGACAAATGGTTTAATTAAAATATAGTTTATATATAGAAATGGCTGGCGATATATACATGTTCAAGATAACGTCTTTATTGGAATAATAAATAGTAGCCCAACTTTCGTGTATTTACTTAATTTCTCCAGTACCGACAGCAGAACCGATAACGTCCGAGCTTATCGATACAGCGGTCTTTCAAAATTCAGTACCGGGGCCCGTTTAATACCGGGTTTCGGTACCCATCCCTAGTCATAATATTATACGATCTATCTGCGGCACGTCCATGGCTAGCATGAACATGTGCATCTCTCTCACTGACTACTTCGTCCCGATCAGATTCAGAATTATCAAATAAAGAGTGATCGGACTCCGAGTCCATTAACCTCCAGTACTTCAGCCATATACCTCTGCATTGTCTGTCTGATACATTCTCACTACTCCACTGTTTGAGACGATTGCAATCTGTTTCTCTAAACAAAGAGTTGCGCAATCATTCAGGACATGCGCGCAGGTCTTCCTTACCGTATACCACCTAAAACACGGATACCCGGAAAATTCCGTGTTTGGCGCAGATGCGTTTTTTCATTAAACACGGAAAATTCCGTGTTTGGCGGGGAAAGAGTTAAGGTACAATCTTGCATAGTGTGCCTTTAAAATATTTTTGCTGACCCCAATCTTTTGAACAAGCTAAACTGTGTGTATATCATTCTGAAAGATGCACAATTTTTATTTTTCAAACGTATAGTTACTGTTTTGCCAACTGAAAATGAGGACAAAATAGCATGCGGCAATGAAATGTGAAAGGACTTGGTTGATCCTCACACAGCTAAGCAGGTTGCAGCTAGCGGCTGTGTTACGTAAGTCTATAGCAGTTTTGTCATCTTTACAAGCAGTTGAGTGCTGCTATAGGATCTCATGAGTCAGCTTTGACCCAGCACTTTATTCTCTCCTGCTAGGCCTCCTGCTCTACTGACTCTTACAGGTCAGGCCCTTTGTACGGTGCTGACCCCAGGCCCCAACAAAAAAGAGAGGAGGGATTACTAGCAATGCAGCTGCTGATTTAGTCAATGCTGATGCTACACAGATCTGAGCCTTTTCTGATAACTACTAAATCCTACTGCCGTACATCCTTGCCAGGAGCCTCACGTTCAAAACAGAATGTCCAGATGAAGCTTCTAGAAGGATATGATCATGTGTCCATTACTTTAATATCTTGTTTTAAGTGTTTAATATCATAGATACACAGTTTATAACAATGCAATTCACACTGCATGATGTATAAGAGATTTGGTCTGTTATTTAAACTGTTATGACACTGTTTGTGAGAAATTGCTGGGGGAAAAAAGCTCCTGATGCAATGTCCTTGTATCTACAATTTATCGTTCATTGCATCTAGTTTCAATCTCTGTCAGCTCTTTTTCCTTTCTGTTTTGCTTCGCCTATGGCATCCCGTCTGTACCTTTTAGAAGAGCAGGTTTTTCAGAATGATCAGTGCTCCAGAGATGATTGAACATCTTCATATTTTTCCCAT